CTCTCTCTCCCTCTCTCTCTCTCTCTCTCTCTCTCTCTCTCTCTCTCTCTGTCTCCGTGTCCTCAGCTCACACCGGTCTGCTGTCAGAGCAAAGAGACGCAGGGAGGAGGAAGGAGAAGAAGAGATGGAGGAGAAGGTGGAGGACGGGAAGGAGGGGAGACAGATGAATGGAGGGATATAATCAGTCAGGAGGATGAGGGGATGAAAAGTGACGGGGATGGAGGGTAATCTGAGGAAGAGGGGAGGACAGAGGACAGAAGAAGGAAATCAAGAAATGGAGGGAGATAAAGAATTAAAGAAGTAAATCATCAGAGACGGAATTAAAACTTGGAGACAAATGGGAGGGATTGATGGACAGATGTGCAGAAAAAAGTAAAAACATTTCCCGGGATTTTTACACAAAATGTCTAAATGACAAATCCAGCCAGCCTAAAGTGAGCTCATAAATCTTCTGCACACTTTTCTAACAGTCAGGTACATCCCTACAGGTTATAAGTGTGTATGTCCAGCTTCCAGGAACTAAACGCTCCCAGCCTCGCAGCCTAAACCTGCCATGTCAAAATGCATTCTTTCTCTGCTTGATTTTCTTTCGAACACATTTAAAAGCATCGTAATCACTGCTGCATGCACAGACAGCTGAAAACTAAAACCTGAATGACCAGGTGAAACATCCAATGATGCATTTTTCTATTTGCTCTTAAAACAAACATTAAAAATAAAATCTAAAAATTGTTCAGTATTTGAGTTCGGCTGAGTTGCCGTATCAATAAAAAAATGTGACAAAAAGTGTAAAGAGGGCAGATGAATAAATGATGAAGTCACATGGAGCAAACTTAAACATCGACTGAAGAGACGAGAAGGTGCGATCAGTGCGGAGCTCTAAGGCGACTTCTGTCATTGTTTAATGGTTTCTAACCTTCTGTTGACCTCCATAACAGGACAGGAAGTCAAACAAGGATACGCACAGAGCGTCCGATCAATTTCAAAATAAAACACCTCATACAGACTCTCCATCGCAAACCTTTTATTTTATTTTTTATGTGTCTTTGGGAATTTTGTGGCCTCCATTGGAGAGATAGGACAGTGGACAGAGCGGGCAATAACATGTGGGAGAGAAGCCACAGACCCGGACCCAAACCTGGACCGCCCACCCTAAAGACTACGCGCGCACCAACCACTGAGCCACCAGCGCCTCCACTTTCTCAACATCTTCTTCAAATCAGGCCCAGAATGAATCGCCCTCGGGAAGTCAAAGTAACCTGTTGTCTGCTGGTTTTTTAGTCTGTATTCCCGCGTGATCTTGAAGTTCTCCCGTGATCTCGTGAAGCCGCGAGTACAGCTGCTCATTGCACCCAAGTGACGCAGGGCGGTGACTTTACCCGTTCACCTTTTCATCTCTAACTAGAGTCATGGTCAATTCCAGGGACCAATCAAGTACGGAAGCCCCAAGCGGACATGCAGCCTGTGATAACGACTGCTTTCTGTCTGTTTCCTCCAGATCTCAACTTCTAAGATAACAAAGCTGGTTTTCTCTGTTTCTTTGGCTTTTCCGTCTCATAAAAATAAAAAAGAGGAGATCTTGAGAAAATGACCCTGTTAGTTTAACGTATGGATGAATGTCCGCTTTGGGCTTCCATACTGAAAAGGTTTCAAGCTTTAAAAAAAACAAACAACAACTGATGCTGGTGTGTCTCTTGGCCTTGAAAACTGGGAGAGAGCCTGAGCGTATGCAGGCTGTGATCCATGCTGCTCTGTTGTGCAGAACATTTAAATTCTGGTGTTCTTCAGTCTGTCAGCGACGCGATCTCATCACAGCTGCTGATCACAGATAGTCGAGGGGTTGATTTAAAAAAAAAAAAGACAATATCATTTACATGGTACAAGAATTGGTTTGTTTTGCAAATTGCTGCGACTACATAGCTGGTCGCTTCTGCAAATATTTGACACACTCAACAAGATCTTTAAGTCCATGTCTGTGTTTCAGATTTCATCTGGCCCCCATTTCCTGTTTTCTTTAAAGCCGAGCGCACACTGTACTGTACAAATTCAGACCAATTAAGACACAGTCGGCTAATTTTGTACGACTCCTGCACTTTAACATATGTATCTTTGATTGCACAGCCAAGAATGTGCACAGCTCTGGAGAACCCTCTGTATTGCACATTTACCACTGTCATCACTGTTTTTGCAAACTTACATCTCTCACCTCCAGCAAGTATTTTTACATTCAGTTGACAAGCCTGAATAAATGTTGTATTTAATTTTTTTTTTAAACCAGTAAGAATGTTAAGTTAAATCCTTGATGTATAAATCTCTTCTTATTCTTATTTTTTATATTCTAAGTGCTTATTTATGTATCTATTCTTATAGTGTTTTATTTGCTTTGATAACCTGCTGCTGTAACACCACAATTTACCAGTTTGGGATCAATAAAGTAATTCTGTTCTATTCTGATGCTGGCCTTACACCTACCGACTTTTCAAGGGATTTCAATAAGCTCATGAGAGTCCTGCTGGAGTCGGGAGGCGCTGCTGTGATCTCGTCGTTTAGTGTGAGGTGGTCATAAAAATTAAATCTGAGGTTTTGTAAGACAGACTTCATTTTATCAGCTGCTCCTGATCGGTTGGATGAATCCTGGCATGTTTGATAATTTGCACGCACTCGCACTCGCACAGTGAGCCACAAGCCGATTTCCCAAATTATTATTATTTTTTGTTTTTTGTATCCTGATTGTGTCTGCACAAATCCAGAGTCCAGAGGCGCTGCTTGTCAACAGGCAACTGCTTAGGGGGCCCCAGACCAGTAGGGGGGGCCTCCTGAGGGATCACAAACTTAAACCAAAGCAGTGGCTCAAAAAAATGTGCAAAATTTTGCAATGACAGTAGGAGACCTCCCTAAGGGGGGCCCCATTTGACAGGACTCACTCTTGTTGCTCAACAAAGAAAAATGAAGAGGAATGATCCGTCTGGAGGGGAGAAAAAAAGGAAAACAGGAAAAACTGTCAGAAAGGTGATGAACGCTGGTTGGAGGGACCCGCGCACCTCTGCACCTTTAAGAAAAAGCTAAAGACCCAGCTCTTTCATGAATACCTACTAACTTAATGATGATGGTCTCCATATTATTGATGATGATGATGGTAATGACGATGGTTTTTGTTTGATAACGACAATTTATAAGATGGTTTCTATACTGATTAGAGCTCTCAAGAACTGCCCTCAATGTTGTGCTTTGCCTCTGGTCACTTCCTGTCAGCACCTGTGTGTCCAATCAGACTCAAAGCTGATCGTTTGCTCTTACTCACATTGTTCCCTTTTTTCTAGATCCTTGCTTGTGTTGTTCTTACTCTCTGATGTACGTCGCTTTGGATAAAAGAGTCTGCTAAGTGAATTGTAGGGACCCCCAGTTTATTCTTGACTGGGGCGCCAACAGACTCTAGAATCGCCGCTGATGGGGGCCCCTGCCTTGTTGACAAGCAGCGCCTCTGCTTGGGGGTTTTGTTGATGGAGTTTGGTCCAGCAGGTGCTTTAAAGACGTTTCCTAAGGGGGGATACAAAGACAAAGCAAGAGTGGAACAAGGTGAAGGACAAAAAGAGAGACTTTTAACAACATGACAAGCGAGAAGTTATTTCAATTAAGAGCTTATTAATAATCAGAGAAGCTTCAGAACATTATCAGGATTAATAAAGCCGGGATATTACAACTACAACTAATAAAGTTAAAGTCTCAATTAGAGTCAAACTACTTTGTTACACCGAGCTGAACAAAGGAAATTACACTGTGATGCAGCGCCTATAGAGACTGTGTGTGTGTGTGTGTGTGTGTGTGTGTGTGTGTGTGTGTGTGTGTGTGTGTGTGTGTGTAGACCCTGCAGTCAGTCTCTGGGTGTTATATTGACACACACACACACACACACACACACACACACACACACACACACACACACACACACACACAGTGCATGCCTTGAATTTAACAGAGAGAGAGAGAGAGAGAGAGAGAGAGAGAGACATGCTTCGCATTGCCATATCCTTGGAGAGCCTTTAAGCGCGCGCCCGCCCACTCGCCCGCGCTGGCTCTCTATCGCGCGCGTTCTCGCCGATTTGCGCGCGCGCGCCCGGGAAATAAAGAAAAGATAGGTAAAAAAGCAAGAAGAGAAGAGAAGAGAGAGAGAGGGAGAGGTATACCCGCCGTCTTCTTCTTCTTCTTCTTCTCCCTCTCCTTCTGCTGCAGTGTCTGATTCTCCCTCCACCATCTTCATCATCCTCTCCTCTCCCTCCTGTCTGTCTGTCTGGGCCCCCCCCCCCCCCCCCCCCTCTCCTCCTCCTCCTCCTCCTCCATCCCGCTCTCCGCCAGTGAAGGCACGGCCAGATTATCACGGCGACAAAAGAGAGAGAGAGAGGTAGAGAGACCTTGAGAAAGACCGAGAGAGAGAAAGAGAGTGTGAACGAGAGAGAGAGAGAGAGAGAGAGAGAGAGAGAGAGAGACAGAGAGAGAGAGAGTGTGAAGGAGGCTGCAGACTTTTCCGCGCACAGAGGAAGAGGAGAGGAGGACGAAGAGACAGAGAGATAGAGGAGTCTCCATCTTCGCCATTTCAGTATGTTTCTCTTTCTTCTTTTTTTATATTCCTGTAATGACGCGTCTGACGCTCCTGACGCTTCTGACGCTCCTATATGCGCCTCCACCGCTCCGGTCACCTTCTTATAGTGCTCCCTATAGTGTGTCAGTCATGCTCCTGTTGTTCCAGCGCTCACTTTTTTGTTGACAGCCTTCTTCTTATGTTCCTATTATTACATCCCTGAGCTCTGACAGTGTGTGTGTGTGTGTGTGTGTGTGTGTGTGTGTGTGCCTTTTGTGGGGACAATCTCTGCTAAAAAAAAAAAATCTTCTTGTCGTTTCAAGACACGCAATTTCCTAAAATATTCTTACATGTTGTGCCTTCTTTGCGCTGCTTTTCTGCACGCCTTTGTGAGTTGCTATTCCCACTCCGAGCTGTCACTGTCTTGCACTGTAAGTGACCTCAAACCACCTTTTTCTGATTCTTTATTCTCACGTTTCATTATCATACATAACGCGCGGCGCTCCATCACATCCCTGTGTAATGTTTCCGTAATGTTCCTGTGAAGCCACGCATTGTTCCGTATGTGGTACAGCTATAGGATGGGTAGACTAATAGGGGGTCTGATAAATCCAGGCTGGGACCATTGTGTGAAGTGTTTTGTATTCCTGCAGGGTGTCACACAGCGTCACTGTTCCTATAATATCGCCATAATGCCTCCACAGTGAGAGGGAAAGAAAGTGTGCCTGTGCTGTCAGTTAGAGAGTCTGCAGTGACCTTACAGCACCTTTTTATATATCAACTTCATCCCCTCTGTTATCACTGAGTGTATATTATATGATCACTGTCTTTTTTTATACTATGCTAGAAATATTTGATGAATTTGCTTGGCTAAATATACAATAAGTTTTCTTTTTTTTTAAGCTGAGGTTGCAGAACTCAAACACAGACCAGCTTTTTAAAAACAGCGTTAATATGGCATGAAGCCAAGAGGGGGAAATTCCCTTCACTTGCAGGTTTCACACCTGTACGGGGGCAAAAAGCAAAATGTATACCTGGGCAAGAAGAGGCTGGTGTAATGCAGGATGATGGATCTCTACAACAATGAGATGCTTCTTAACCACAACAACAACAAAAACGTTTGACAGTGCTTTTCAGAACGTCTTTAAGTTTACTTTTGTGTCTGGAAAACAACTAAACAACCTACTCAGCCGCCTCTGTCAGAGCTGGAAGACTTTCACAGTGAAGCACGATTGCTGGGAGGAGACCAGTGTCCTGGCTCTGATTGAATGTTGTTTGTTTGGTAGATAACTCCTCTGAATGTTCAGGAGATGAGCGTCAGAGTTGGAGTGTTGAAAATGTCAGAGGACATTGTGTGGTCCAACATGAACATTAAACTCCTGTTTCAAAATGATTGAATATAAGATGATTGTGTGACGATCATATCACTGTAATCCTGACGTGGTGGACACATGCTAAAGTAACAACGTACAGGAACTCTTTCTCACTGCTGATGGGAATGTAGAGACATCTAAAGGCTTCAGGGAGGAGGTTCAAAAGTCTGCATTCTGGGTGGTCATCCGAGAGACTTTAGTGAGTGTTGTAGTCAAGACCAGACTAACTGAGACCAGAGAGCTCAGAGGGCGAGAGAAGAACAAGACATTTAGGGATCGAAACCGAGTCAAGACCGAGAAGATGAATTTCTCTGAAAAATCAGACAAATGCTTTTGATTACGAGACAGGACCGAGACCTACAAAAAAACGATTTCTGAGTTCTACATCACTCGATTTTAGCATCAACAAAAGCAACTTATAGACGTGCGTCTCTTGCAGTACGCGCTAAAAGAGCAGCTGCTACACCGAGTATGAAGAGCGGCATTAGAGATCTGTTCACCATCCAAAAACACCTTTTAAATCCAACCTTCACAACAGGGTCCTAAGACACTGACTAGACTCTTCTCCTCTGTCGCCCCCCGGTGGTGGAATGAACTTCCAAACTCCATGTGATCTGCAGAGTCCCTCTGCACCTTTAAGAAAAAGCTAAAGACCCAGCTCTTTCATGAATACCTACTAACTTAATGATGATGGTCTTCATATTATTGATGATGATGATGGTAATGACGATGGTTTTTGTTTGATAACGACGACTTATAAGATGGTTTCTATACTGATTAGAGCTCTCAAGAACTGCCCTCAATGTTGTGCTTTGCCTCTGGTCACTTCCTGTCAGCACCTGTGTGTCCAATCAGACTCAAAGCTGATCGTTTGCTCTTACTGACATTGTTCCCTTTTTTCTAGATCCTTGCTTGTGTTGTTCTTACTCTCTGATGTACGTCGCTTTGGATAAAAGTGTCTGCTAAGTGAATTGTAGAATTGTAGGAAAAATCCATCTATTTATAGAGCACGTTTAAAAAAACCCAGAGTTGACCAAAGTGTTGAACAACAAGAGGAAAGTAGCAGATTGTTTTATATAGGAGCATGAGGTGTTTTCATACCAAAGAGGAATTATCCCCGAGAGTCCTGAGAACAACACTACACCGCCATACTGCTCTATAGGGGAGTACCGACTCTGAAGCAGGATCTAAAGAAGTTCCTCTAAACGGGGTTCTCTGTACCAAAATAGTTCATAGTTCCTGCGGTGTGAAAAACATGAACACAGCGTTTAATAACACATAAAGACAGTATACAGGAAGTCACCATCTTACAAACTTATTATTCACTTTAATAGTTGTCACTTATGCACTCCTGTCCCTGAAATTTTCCTCACCTGGTTGTCCTAAGCCGACATTTGCTACCACTCTTCAGTCAATAATTGTATTTCCACAGCGAGCGCAGCGGTCCATCTCTGGAGCGTTTCAGCAGCGCCAAAACGGGGACGAGCCGGAAAAAAACCCAAACGTGGACGATGCAACAGAGTCCACTATACAACGCTATAATGAGAAGATTTGTCTTTCTATCAACGCTACGTGTAGTTGAACAGAATCCCAATGAAAACTAAAGAGTGGAGAAGAACATCCTGGAGAACAGGAAACAGAGCACGGCGATAGTAGAGGTGGCGTGCAGCGATCACAGTATAGAAACATCAACGACCTCCTTATTAGCTGGAGGTGAATTCTCACATCAGCTCACTTTTTAAAGATTTATTTTTTGGGCTTTTTGTTCCTTTATTGGAGAGATAGGACAGTGGATAGAGTCAGAAATCAGAGAGAGAGAGAGAGAGAGAGAGAGAGAGAGAGAGAGAGAGAGAGAGGGGAACGACATGCGGGAAAGGAGCCACAGGTCGGACTCGAACCTGGGCTGCCCGCCTGGAGGACCACAGCCTCCATTCATGGGGAACGCACACTAACCACTGCGCCACTAGCACCCTGCTAACTCTTTTTTTTTTGTTTTGTTGCGTTGGTAAAATCTTGCATGTTGGCTTTCCAAAATACGAGGAGTGAACTTGGAGGATATTTTAATGTTGGAGATCAAAAACTTTGCCTGTGTAGACTTAGACTTTGATCAGAATGAGAGAAGTGAATGGAGGATTCAAACTTTACTGCAGATGTCCTCTTAACTTTCTAAAGTCTGTCCGTGAGTCTGAAAAGGAAAGGCCTGCTGAAGCTGAAGAGCTCACCGTTATTCAGCGTGCATGAAAAGATGGAAAGTGATTTCTTCTTGCCGATGTTTAATCTGCACTCTTTGTTATTCAGAGAGACTTCTGAAGAGACTCGAGTTCTTTTCAGGGTTTTCTGAACAATAGTTGCCTTTTTAATTCTTTATTAATCCGTACCAAATATCATTTTCAGGAATGTTATTATGCGATCAGTGTAAAGAGATGTTTCAATCGCAGAGATGTTTTTTGTCCAAAGCCTCAAAGAAAAAGAGGTAGAAATCAAAGCCCGACATGGAAGTGTAATTATCGCCCCAAAATAGAAAATATGTGAGGTAAAATAGTGAAGAACTTTTCTGAAAAGTTACTGAAACAGGTGAAAACTGTCTATAAAAAACACAAAACAAGTCTCACTTTCCTTCAGCTCTACACAACGTTTGAGCGTCCTTCACCCGTCACGTTCAGGAAACACAAGGAGTGGAACCCAAATGCAGAGAAAAGCTAAAATATTAAATATAAGGGAAGGAATACTGAGACTGACGACACAGGTGAAGACAGTCAGGGCGATCAAAAGGGAGGGAGTCAGACAAGTAAAGAAACACATGGGGACAAGAACTACAAAATAAAACAGGAAGCACTAAAGACAAAACGAGGGAAATGCAAACACAGTGAAAAGAGAAACATGAGGATGAAATAACCAGAAAACACAAAATGCTTTACAGAGGAATAAGAACAGTAAAGGCCCGGACACACCAAGGAGATCGTCGCAACCCGTTGGACTTTTTCGGCCGATTCGACATGTAGAATCGCCGTTGGCAGTCGGTGAGAGGAATCTCTCTGATTGGCTGTTGGGAGGTTTAATTTCTCTCTTTCTTTTGCTGTAGTCTCCATGCTTTCACCCATTAGTGAGGTTTCTCCTTATTTGTCTCCTCCTCCTCTTCTTTTCTTTTTCCACTAAAAGACCAAGAGCTGACAACGCCAGCGCCATATATCAGATGTTATTCTCCATTAGTAGGCGACCTATAATACGAGTGGTGACCGACAGCGGTGTGAAAATGATTCTTCTCATATCATAACAAACGGACTACCGCCCCCTGCTGGTGTGGAGGGTTATTTCCTCTATATTTGAATCAGTCATTGTGTCATGGAAGAGATTGCTGCCTCTGAGTTTAAAAGTGAATGTTCTTTGTTGACCAAATGAAACATTAACCTGGTTCAGGTAGACCTGCTTCTCGTCTCCCCCGTGGCGGCTGCAGGTAGACGGCTGGTTTTTTTCTCCGTGTAAACACTGAGACCAGGTGAACGCGTCTGAAAAAGTAATGAGAGGAAAAAAGAAACCCTCTTTTTTTATTTCCTGTCTGCTCTCAGCGGAGTCCGAGTCAGAGCTGGAGATCATTCATAACTGCAGAACTAAATAAAGCGTCCTCCTCTCTGCAGCCAGACACCA